GACCGATGCGGCTGAACTCATCGTTAGGGAGGAATGCATGAATCAAGATCGGGACTCCTGGCTTCTTACCAGTCTTGCGATAAGAGACTTCATCCCAGTAAGCAGCCTTGAGCGTGCGCTGTCAGCACTCAGTTTGTGGCATAGAGCTCCGCGATTCTTGCTTACCCCGCTCAGCTGCTCTCATCAGAATCCAGCCTTCTAACCAATAGCTGGCTCAAAATGCGAAGCAAACAAACTAATTCCACCTCATGACCATTTGCCAAGTGACGAGGCTCTTTATTTGGTCTATGGCCTTTTAAATCGTTCATATGACTGTATATATAAACGGCCAGAAAACCGCCCACTCTTTTTTAGAAAAAAACCTCATCCAATCTAAGCCTAATAACAAGAACTTTATTTCCGAAAGTCTAGAGTATGCCTACCGCCTCCCTTAATACACTGTTCCGACTAAAAACCTTGTATATAGCTGGTCTCCCACCTCCCAACACGACACGATGTGCTATAACATGATCTCATACACCTGCGGTCACACTCTCAAATCGCAGTCGACCACCTGCACGTGCGATGAGAAAAAATCAGATATGACCTCAAGCTTTAAGTGCAAAACATCATGCACGGGGTCTTGAAAATGGTCACCACTCTTGGCCGCGCGGGAGCCTCGTGGCCCTCGCCACAGTATGCTGAATGAAGGGTCAACGAATGGGGATTACTCGAAGGGTAGCGTTTCATATCTTACCGAATTTTCTTGTGGGGAAATTTATGTCTGGTACTGGACGCATCTTACAACCTTCATGGTGTGTTTAATGGGAAGGAACCGAGTAATAAACCACAGTCATTAGATTGACCTTAAAGAGGCTATCAAATGGCATATTGTACAGTTAAATTTCCACGGCTGACCATTCCTATATTTTATCTTGGAATTAGGAGAAAACCAAACCTCAGACTCGTTCACTTGTATCTTGTCAACAAGGGCCCTTGAGGAATGTATGTATTCAGGCATCAATTGATGCCTCAGGCAACAAACCGGATACAAATGCCTCAAACAACTGGAAGCCCTGAAGAACAAAAGCCCATAGGTGGCACAACCGTGGATGTACCTAGGGACCTACATGACTCCAATGTCTTCCAAGGTTGTGTCAGTGGTACCTTGGACCCAACAATCGCAATGTTCCAGACTATTTCTACTTTGGGCAATTGATTGGTGTGCCACTTCACGCAGGCTAGTGGATTGCCAATGACATGGCAGTAGATGGGTCAGCAAGGAGTTGAAACGTGTTGGGGCGCCACAGGGAACGCCAGTTTATGTTGATGCAAAATCTAATCTCCAGAGCCGTGGGAATTACATTGATTGTCCTCGGTGTGAGGGCTTCATATTGAAGAAAAGCGGCTCGTGGTGGCTCCCATTTTTAACGGCGGAGATCAGCGACGCTAAATTGGCCAAGAAACCAATAACTCCAGTGACCCAATTCTAATAATAACCAGTCCAGACCAAACAGAGTTCACCTTTTTTTCTTTCATGCGTGCGCATTATCTTTGTCTCACCTCCGCTCGTTTTCCCCATCTCTTTACAATCTCCCATTCTCCATTCCCTTCGTTTAAATCTATTCCCATTCATCTGAATGCTGGGCTCTTGATTTCCTCCGGCCACTCGTTCATGCCGGATCGCCATTCGTTTCTGCCTTGACGTAATGGATCTACATCACTTGAGCTTGCATGCTCGCACGGATGGAGCGGATACTTTCCTCGAGCTTATAGCGAATCCATTTCGCTCTGCAGTAAGTTGGAATTGTATTGGGAGAGAGAACACCATGCTGACAAGTCGCAGTTTACAGTTACTGCTATTTGGGCCTCACTGGGCACCTCGATTGGCGTCACTGTCCTCCTCGCTCTCCTCTTCTCCCTTATTCGACCCCGTCACTCACTTGTCTATGCGCCCAAAGTCAAGCATGCAGACCTCAAACACACTCCGCCCCCGGTGGGCAAGGGCTTCTTCGCCTGGGTCAAACCGGTCATCAATACACGAGAACCGCAGCTGATCGAGACAGTCGGCCTGGACGCCGCAATCTTCCTCCGCTTTACAAAAATGTGCCGGAATATCTTCATCTTTCTCAGCATAATCGGCTGTCTCGTCATGATACCCGTCAATGTCACACAAAGCAAGGGGGTTACTGACACATCGGCAGCTTCTGCCTTCAATATGATGACACCCCTCAACATCACCAACCCCATGGCTATCTGGAGTCAGGTCGTATGTGCCTGGGCTTTTGATCTCATTGTTGTTTTCTTTTTGTGGAGGAACTATCGCGTTGTACGGAACCTGCGGAGGCAATATTTCCAAAGCTCTGAATACCAGCGCAGTCTGCATGCCAGAACCTTGATGGTCACGGACATTCCTCCCAATAGTCGTACCGATGAAGGTATCCTGCGGCTGACTGACAAGGTTAATCCAACCGCGGCCCTCCCACGAGCTGCGATTGGCCGTAATGTCAGGGACTTACCCCGGATCATCAAAGAACATGAGGAAGTTGTCCGAGAACTCGAGTCCGTTTTGGCCAAGTACCTCAAGAACCCGGACAGATTGCCCGCGAAAAGACCTACTCTACGTCCCCCTCGCCGACAACGCAACCAACTCCCCGGCAGTAAAGTGGATGCGATCGATTATCTATCCGTCCGAATCCGCGTCTTAGAGGAGGAAATCAAGCATGGACGTGCGTCGATTGATCGCCGAAACGCAATGCCCTACGGCTTTGCCAGCTGGGACAATATCGAGCACGCTCATGCTGTAGCATGGAACGCTCGCCGCAAGCGCCCTGAGGGCATCACTATTGCTCTTGCGCCACGACCCAGCGATATCATCTGGGAAAACCTGCCACTTACAAAATCAGCACGCAAGTGGAAGCGACTAGTCAATCTTTTCTGGGTGACATGTTTGACACTTGTCTGGATTGTTCCTAACGGTCTGATTGCCATTTTCTTGTCCAATCTGTCAAATCTGGGTTTGGTATGGCCGGCGTTCCAGACCTCGCTGGCAGGGAACCCAAATGTTTGGGCTGCTGTCCAGGGTATTGCGTCTCCCGCACTGACTTCGCTCGTGTATCTGGCGCTTCCGGTCATCTTCCGTCGACTTTCTATTAAAGGTGGCAGCAAGACAAAAACATCCCGAGAGCGACACGTGCTGGGGCATTTGTATGCGTTCTTCGTTTTCAACAATCTGATCGTCTTTTCGCTTTTCTCGGCTGCTTGGTACTTTGTGTCGTTCGTGGTTGACAAAACCAAGAACCATGAAGACGCTTGGCAAGCCATCTTGGAAAGCCGGATGTATGCCAAGTTGGTAAGCGCTCTATGCACTGTGTCGCCGTTTTGGGTGACGTATCTTTTGCAGCGCAATCTTGGCGCTGCTATTGATCTTGTGCAGCTGGTCACTATGTTTTGGGTTTGGTTCTCCAAGACGTTCCTTGCACCCACACCCCGACAGGCAATTGAGTGGACTGCACCGCCGCCATTCGACTACGCCAGTTACTACAACTACTTCCTTTTCTATGCCACCGTGGCTTTCTGTTTCGCTACCTTGCAACCCATTGTACTGCCAGTGACGGCATTGTACTTTGGTGTGGATGCCATGTTGAAAAAATATCTATTGATGTACGTGTTTGTGACCAAGAATGAGTCCGGTGGTGGGTTTTGGCGAGTTTTAGTCAATCGCTTGATCTTCGCTACTATTCTTGCCAACGTGATTATCGCCCTCGTTGCCAAGTCGAGCGGCACGTGGAACATGGTGTACTGCGTGATGCCCCTACCTTTCTTGATGATTGGGTTCAAGATCTATTGCGTGAAGACGTTCGACTCCGATTGCGAGTTCTACAACCGTGCAAATCTAAGCGATTCCGAGGCCTTGGGCGTGAACCCGTCCGACAAGAAGGCATCAGACCGTCTCAACACCAAGTTCGGACACCCTGCCCTGTACAAACCCCTATTGACACCTATGGTGCACGCCAAGGCAGCCGCGGCACTCAAGGAAATCTACCAGGGTCGTCTAGACCAGGGAGATACGGGCGGCGAGTACTCAGACATTGCAATGAACCCGATGCTTGCATCTCAACCCGGCAAGCCTGCCGAACCCGCGCCATTCGAGGTCGTCCCGGAGAACCATCTCGATTTCTCGTACTACAAGGATCGAGCAGACTTCCGAGAGGAGTTCGGAGGCGGCATCTACGGCCGACCCGAGGATCTGATGACAGAGCGCTCGCACACGCCCCGCAGTACTCTAAGAGGCGAATGGTCTCCCGGCTCATCTCGTGCCTCATCACCGACACCCTCTCTGCCATCAATACCACCGCTACATATGCAAAATGGTTACGACCATTCTGACCCGACAGGACTGGTTCACCCGGCCTTCCGTGTGCCGCTATCGCGGGGCGACAGCGGTACCTCTGGAGCATACTCGAACACAGACGAGGCGGAATCCAGACTACTCAGTCATGCACAGGTTCCCGCGCAGACGGATATCACAAATCCGCTCGGTCGTTGGCGGACCGGTGGTTATGGACCTTTAGGCCAGGACGATGAACCCTCTTACACTTCCTACGACGCTTACCGTGCACAGCGGTAAGCTGGGATTTGTTCATATTAGTCCTGCGGGGCCAAACATCTGCATTTGTATAGCCTTTTTGTATTCCACCTGGCGAACAACATTTCTCGGGGGTACTCAGCGTCATTTTTAAACACGAAGGTCACGATTAAATCTTTTTGTCTGCGTTAGACATGCTTTTGGAAATCACCATGTACATATGAAGTGGACAACTTCAATATTAAAGTATCAAAATTTTCCACCACGTGGTTCTCGATTACTAGTCCAGCTCTTAATTCAACAGTATGCTCTTAGACATAGTGCGGCAGGCATCTCTGCGAACTCATTGCACACAACCATTTGACGGAAACGGGATTGCCAGTCTCATTTCTATGAAATGAATTTAAAATGAATTTTAAATCATGAAGTTTTCTCAGGTCGCGTTGGACTTGATGAAATGTGCAACGGCAGCGAATTCTCGCTTTCCACTTGGAACCACATGTCCACCCGTATGCCATATAACGGTCTGATTCTTCCCGTCCCCAAACTCCTGACAGCTTTCCACCAACCTCATCGATGCACTCTCATCCACCACGGTATCCATACTCCCCAGAAAATGCAGCACTGGCGTCCGAATGACGGGGTTATAGAAAGCATGGTAAGCCGGATGAGAGGCAACATAACCCGAAATACTTACCACGAACTTGAGCGGCGGGTGTTCAAGTGTGGCGAAGCAAGCGGGATATGGAATCCCAGCCTCCGCTTCCAATCGGACAAATGCATCTTTTCGATTCTCTTCTAGAAGCGAGGCGACCATAGCGGCCGCAGCGGCCCCCTGACTAAAGCCAACTATCCCATCGAACGGTCCGGAATCCTTGAGAATAGACGCAATAGACTCCAGGCCGCCTTCCAGCCCGGGATAAAGTCCGTCGATGGATTCGGAGTCAAACCAGTTCCATGCACCGTGCCGATTGCGTAGTTCGGACGTGCCGCTGGAGGGGAGCTTTACCGCGAAGGGAGCTGTTGGGTACACCAGTTCAACTCCGTCGGCCTGGAGAGGGCCGACAGCTCGGTGTATCAGTTTTTCTAAGGCCTGGAGTTTTGCTCGGAAAAGTTCGCCCGATTGGCGGGATCCTATTTTGGTTAGCTTTACTCCGTAGGACTGCGCGATTCTGGTGTCAAATACCGTGGATCATTAGGATCTTCATGGTTGAACTGGATATTTAAGGGCTGGATGGAGAGGAAATTTACTTCGTGCACCTGGGTAGGGGTATAGTAGACTAACTATAAAGTAGTGGCTGCTAAGCACCGCCTATACTATAGCCCACTAGTAATAATGGTCATTCTGTATGCGTCAACGTAACAAGGCTAGTGCTTTTTTCCTTCGTACCGGAGGGTTATTAGATCCCGCGATTTTCTATCCACGGTGTGACCTATTATCCTCTTCTATCAGCACGATAGTTCCACATTAAGCGATGAACAAGGCTATGCAGGACGCAAGCCATATTTTTCACGCCTTGACGATGTAGGACTTCTATTCATTTTATGCTTGTTATGGTTTTATATACTCTCATATACTATCATAGAGTCTTATTCGACATGTCCATCCCGTACTTTTATTCCCATTGCTAGCTATAACACCACGAATAATATAGTGTGCTAGTACTGTATACTTTCTTCGAGATCAGATACAAAACATGTGGGTGTTGAGCAAGGCGAGGAATGGCATCATAACCAGGAATATATACAAATGATGAATAGTCTAGACTTCTCTAAATACATGCTAAAGACTAAATAGTTATAAGGACACGATGTAGATAATGTGGTGGAAGAACAGTGGGATACCAAGTCGGCCATCGCCCGGGAAAAGCGTGGTGGTTAGACATACTTGCCAGACTGTACTTTTTTATGACCGGTCAATCCAAATTGAGTTGATACACGTATTCTCCCAAAAAAGAGAGGAAGATGTCGTGAAGAGTTGTGGTTGGCAAGGCAGATAGACACCTGAATTGTCAGGCTACATAATACAGAGCTCACGTGAGCATTCAGGGTCCAGCCAATCAGATCGAAGTAACTTGATCGCGGAATCCAAGCTGAACCAGTGAAATTTGGTTCTCTACGTTTCATTTACTACGTAATAATCCAAAGTGCTCGACTGACCATAAAAAAATGAAGCAGCCTTGAAAAGGAAGCTGTCAGCAAGGGTGGGCCGAGTCGCAGCGCGCCAAAGCACTGACACAGCTCCAACCCACCAGCAACCGTAACCTCCCGAGGCTCGCCAGCACTCCAAATCCACACCGAAATGGCGTGGTACTCCATCCTTCCGTCAGAGCTTACCCACCTCGAGAGCTGGGCAGCTCGAATTTTCGTGAGTTTCCCCTTTTGCTCTCCGACTTGCGTTCTTAGCCCCTTCCCTATGACGCAGTTCGCTGATTTACCCCGGATTCCGCAGTTCTTTCTCGGTCTCATCACAATTGGCCCCTGGGCTTTCCTCGTATTCCTAGACGCAATCATCTGGCTATATCGACTGATCCTTTGGGAGATTCCCTGGATTGGCGGACGAGCAGGTGGTCGACAGCGCCCTCGCGCGCTGAGCTTGAATGAACGTCCGGGGGGGCAACGGAGGGCATTTGGACTGCGCGGCGTCGAGACAGATACCGGTGATAGTGAGGGTGGAGATCGAGATGATTCCCCAGGGCTGAAGAGGGGGAGAGATCGTGATGACCCTGGGAAGGAAAACGTGAGCCCTGTTGTCCAACCATTGTATCCACATTCGAGTGGAGATGGGATCTTGAAACAAAGGAGCTCGGGGCAGATATGATGATCAGGTCCCCTTCCTCGTGAGAAGTGATGATGTTTATGATCTTATCTTATTGTTTTGTGTCTTGTCTGTGGTATCTGTCGTTTCGACTATTGAGCAAGCATACATTTCTCTTATTGCCCTCGAGTCTTTCAAGGTTGCATGTACATGACTTATACTACATCGAATATTATGTGATACTAGCAGAGTATGATCTATGATACAAAGCTGGTACTGGGGAGTGAGTCGCCTATGTACATAATCGAATACCCCAACTATCTTATCTTCAAGAGCCAACCCCGCAGGACCGTCTCGGCCGTATGAGTCAATCAGCAACAACGGACGGAGCGTTCAGCCACTCAAAGTGGAGAGAGATAAGCTCTAAGACAAGTTCCCAAGACAAAGTTCGCTTTCTCGTGCGGAGTTCATGCGGAGTAGGTAGTTGTTCTGAGCATAAAGGTCTCCGTCGAGCAAGGATTATAACCCTCAATAGCTCAGATCTACTCCATATTGATTTGAGCAGGATGGCAGAAGCTCTATACAAGGTGGACATCGATGCACCATGGCTCATACTCTCCAGAAACCTGCTCTTTGTCCTTATCGTGGGATTGTGTGCTGCTATGTGGAGGATTCGACAATCTCGCAAGGCCAAAGCATACGGGAAGACGGAGACAACTTGCTCAGAGAATAAGACATCCCCCATCATACCTCTGGAGGGATTCAATTGGGAGGAGACCGAGCAATCACAATTTCGGCCATTCAAAGGAAAAGACAAATATAATTTGACCATGGGTTAGTCCCTCGTCCGATCTTATACAGATCTGCCATTTTACAACACTCGACACATATCCAGACTAATGCATCTTAGCACTTGAGAATCTTGATCCATCAGAGCTCATCCCGATGGACAAAACATACAAGAGCCGACTCGCCCTCCGCAAGTCCGTACTCGAGCAGCACCACGACGTCGTGGTGGCAATCAACAACGATCAAACCCCAGAAGAAGACCCTCGCATCCGCCCCGCCATCAGCGAACTATACAATTTCGTGCTAGGAACATACCTACCCACCCGATACCCGAGCATGTTCAAGCTAAACGCCGAAAGCTCGATCTTCCACAACCTGGTAACAGGCGCAACCTGGCCAACAACCCTGTCGCCAACGACTCCAGCAATCCAAGCCCTAGAAATCCTGTCCCAGACAGTAGACGAGGATTTCCTGATCCTGCTCCCTGAGCTCTTATCCGATAGTGAGGAACAGCCGAAATATGTACTACAGGCATATGCGTCCTGTTTCCCGGCTGGCTTCAACACGCGCAAGAAACTCGGCCTGCGTATGGTGGATATTCATACGCCGGTCCCGCGTTATCAAGAGAAGATCGGACGCAGCATGGATAGGTTCTTTGCGCGCCTTGCGGTTGGGAAGTTTGTGAAACGAGTCAATTGGAGTATCACTATAGACACGGGGCTGTTTGCTGCTTTTAGTGGCACTCATGCTGTGGTGGGGAAAAATGAAGAGGCTATTGAGCTCGGGAAACTGAATGTTGATCAGGTATGTGGGCTGCGAGGAAGTTCGTTTGATGGAATAGCGCTGATACCACTATAGACTGTTCTCCGGTGTGAGCGTCAAACACTGCATCGGCTGCCGGTGTCCAAGGCTCTTGTCTTTACCATTCACACTTATGTTTATCCGGTTAGGCAGATTAAAGATGAGGGTTCTGGTGAAGACCTTGCGAATGCGGTTGATGGCTTGAAGAGGGGGAATGTGCCAGAAATGCATAATTATAAGAAGGGAGATGTGTGGGGAGAAGCATTGAAGGACTTCCTAAGGGCCTAGGCCCCGGCATATATTAGGGTTATGTGAAAGATCCAAGAATTATAGAGTATATATGACACAATGCTTAGATCTAAGGAAGAGGGGTTTTTTATATAGTTGTTAGATTTTAGATTTTATCTTTGTTAGCCTGCAAGCCTCGGCAATTTAGCGCAGGCGCTCGACAGCCTTGATAAGATCGGCCGAAACACCCATGGCGGTAACGTCACCGCCGGCACCGGCACCCTGGACAATCAGGGGGTTAGCACCGTAGCGCTTGGTGTAGAAGCTGATGATGTTGTCACTGCCCTTCAGACCAGCGATAGCACTGTCCTTATCGAAGTACTGCAGACCGACCTTGACAGCCTTGGCAGCGACATCAATGCTACCAACGTAGCGTACAACCTTGCCCTGCTTCTCAGCGGTGTCCTTAATGTTGGCCATCTGGGCATCGAACTCAGGGAGGCGAGTCATGAACTGGGTAATGCCGTCCGCGGATGAAGGCAGAGATTCGAGCTCAGCGGGGATCAGCGACTCAATAGGGAAAGAGTCAGGGCGGGAAACCTCCAGACCAGCAATACGGGCCAGGATGGTCAGCTTGCGCGCAACGTCCATGCCGTTCAGGTCATCACGAGGATCCGGCTCGGTGTAGCCAAGCTCCTTAGCCTGGGCGACGACGGCGCTCCACTGAGCATCGGAAGAGCCTGAGGCAGGGGCGAAGGTGTTGAAGAGGAAAGAAAGAGTGCCAGAGAACACACCCTCAATGCGGGTGACCTCATCACCGGTGGCCACCAGGTCCTTCAAGGTGGACAACACGGGCAGGCCAGCGCCGACGGTGCTCTCGTGGTACACAAGGGCCTTGCCCTCAGCTGCAGAGGCAAAGATATCCTTCCACAGGGACAAGTCATCGGAGAATCCCTTCTTGTTGGGTGTCACGACTGAGATGCCCTTCTTGAGGAATGTGGGGTATTGCCGGGCGAGGCTAATGTCGGAGGTGTTGTCGACCAAAATGGCCCGGCCAGGGGCTGCGGCAAGGTATGTGGCGATTTCTTCGGCCTGAAGGGCACCGCTCTTGGTCAGAGATGGTGTAGCAGAAGCTGTGGCCCAGTCAGCGGCAGGGATGGCCGGCGAGTAGGCGGGAGTCGGAGCAAGGAGGGTCTGGGAGGAGCGGGCAAGGACGACAAGCTGGGGCGCATTGGGGAGACGAGCAAGCTGTTGAAGGAAGGCAGTGCCAACGCCTCCGACACCTAATATCAAGTCATTAGTACTCAATTGATTTGGACTTTTCAAAGCTCAGTAGTCGGGGACACTTACCAATGACACCAAGGTAGATAGGGCTAGCGGACATGATGCTGATTGGGATATTTTTTTCCTTGGTTATTTTGATCTGGTTTACTTTCTGATTCTCAATCAAGAGTCAATATCAGATCAAAACTAAAGAATCGATCAATTGAGTCACGGCGCGATCTATTCACCTGAGTAGTGGGGGCGCGGGGCTGCCCCGAACATCGGCCTTAGTCAGCAAGAGCAGGCAGAAAGTGAGATTTATGGTTTGGCGGTGTATATTGCGCCATCGGGCTTATCGATTCTTACGATAAGCCTCCAATGGCACTTGGTCATTGTAGGACGTAGAACTTCCGTGAAACTTACAACTTCTTGACATTACGCACGCACAACTCACATCGTCATGCCTGCTGATCAGGATACCCTCTACGGGCAACCCCGTTCCAAAAAGAATAAAACTGAGCAAACTAGCTCAAGCCTTGCCTTCACCTCTCAGCTCTCTTCACTCATTGCCCAAAATGCGACCTCCGCTCCGTCGCGTGGGCGCCAGCGTCCCTCCAAGAATCCGAAGTCGGATATATTTTCTAAGCACAACAAAGGCACTCAGAAGCGCGCAGCTGCCGATCTCGCAGATGACAACAGGGCCGTCAAGCAAGTTCACAGGAGCACCCAGGACATCGGCTCCGTCGACGCCAACACGCTGGGCCGGTCTCGACGCCGCATGCAGGAAAAAGCGCGCCTTTACGATGATATGAAGAAGGGACTACATCTTGCCGGTGACAGTGATGATGATGACATGCCGGTTGATCCATCCGACCCGGACGCCTACCTAGCCCGACTACGACGCAAGGAGAAAGACGTATTGGTTGATTTCGACCTCAAGCATGCAAACGAGGAGCCTCTCAATCAAGATGAGTCCGATGATGACAATGCATCGATTATTTCCTACGAAGACGATCTTGGCCGTTCTCGCCGTGGCACTCGCGCCGAAGCCGCCGAAGCCGCTCGCGCCAAGGATGAAGAAGCAGGTGGTAGAGCTGCCCAGGAACGCTGGCGCCCTGCTCGTCCTGAAAATTTGATTTACGGAGAAGCCGTTCAGACTGAAGCCTTCAATCCCGATGCCAACATTGCATCGCACATGTCCCATCTCGCTGCTCGTCGTGACCGCTCGCCTACCCCGCCAGAGAAGAAGCATTACGATGCCGAAGCAGAGGTTCGAAACCGTGGAACTGGATTCTATAATTTCTCTACCGACGAGGAGGAGCGCAAGCAGCAGATGGAAGAACTCCGAGTTCTGCGAGAGGAGACTTTATTCAAGCGGAAAACGGACGAAGAACGGATGGCTGAGCGTAAGGCTCATATAGAGTGGCGACTAAAAGAAATGAAGAGACTTGATGAGGAGCGGAAGGAGAGATGGCGCCTGGAGGACCTTGAAGCCGAACGCAACCCACCCAAGCCACAAACAACGCCTCCACCTAAACCACCCCCCACACAATGGTTGTACCCTGAGTCGGACACCCCGTACGACCGAACCAAATGTCCGCTGTGGCGACGGTACATGGTCATGGTTTATCCTGACCCAGATGATATCGCTGACGCTGCAAAGGACAAGGACAAGGACACCTCCTAGGCTTCTTCCGTCGTGTTTCGCGGTGGCCAAGTCATGCCTCATCATTTTTCCATCCCATTTGCCCACGCTTTGATTGACAAGATACTTTCTGCTTTCTACGCTCTGCGTTGTTTTTTGTATGTGTGATACCCCTCATTAGTTAATTTTCACTTTTACTTTTCAATAATGAATTTGATTCAACCTAGTCTGTGTGTCTGTATATTTCAATGAATCCGAGGATCAGGTAAGGCTCTTTAGCTGAATATGTCAAGCTCATTGCATAGCATAGCCGGTGGTAGTGCTGCTGTGACAATGAAACGCTTGAACGCTTGAAGCCTGTGTGTAGTACGAGAATCAGGAAGTCCATAGAAGGACCAAACTAACAATCGGAACAACAATCGGAACTACTAGGAAGTAATGGCATGGGCTTGAAATCTTGAATCATCGCAGTCATATCAACATAACTCATAACTCATCATGTCAGAACAGAGATTCCAATTATAAACTGCTAGTCCCACCACGTTCCCCATAATAATTCAGTCACCCAATTCATCCATGATATTCAGGAATCCCGTGGCATCTAAGACAAAGTCCAATTAGTTCACAATGCTCGAGCTTGGGTTAGCTTCAGGTCCACTTACCAGAAGAGCTTGTGAACTCCAGGACATGATGTCCCTGTGACGTCCGCGGGGATGTATACTCATCCATTGACATAAATACCACAGGCTTGGTATCACGCAAAATCACCGTTTTGGAATCGTATAGCTTAAGCCAACTGCGCTTCCTGAGGTTGTGGGTGACGAACGCAGTCCAGACCGGTGTGCTGCGTTATGTTATTAGCATTCGATGTTTGATTCGAACAATCGACACTTGACATACTAGTTCATCTCGCCTAGATGGATTGATGCCTGGAGTCTTACAGCTCCAGTCACTGTGTCTTTATATATGCGCAGCGCGTGCACGTAGTCATCGTCGGTGATTGTGCTAGCAGATATCAGCCTCTTTGCACTTAGTTCCTGCTCTTAGTGTGGATCGCTCACCCCCCAAAGCATTCTTGTTCGTGTGCCAGCTCGTGATCTAAAATTTCCCCGACAGGGTGGCCTTCATCTTGGGATCGCAAGGCAAGAAATGTGTTATGGAATAGCACCAGATCTGCAAGATAAAGTGTGAGCATTGTCACTTCGACAGCCGAGACAGAGCATTCGGATGGGTATTGCTGACCTTCTAATGTGGTGAACTTTAATTGCGTCCATAAAACAAGTTCTGTTCCGCGATTCCGCCGTCTGCATAGTCGGAGACAAGAGCCATCTCGCAAGACCTCGAGTAAATTGAGCGGCAAGCAGTAGTAGTCACTCGGCCCCGTCCGGTGGGGTTCCCTGCAAAGGATGCGGACGCGGAGGTCTGTCCTCCTAAGGTAGAAGGATACGCGCATGTCGGACTCGTCATTCAAGGATCTTTATTCTGTTAAAACACATGCTCAAAAGGAGTAGATATTCTTGACTTGCAGTTGGAGGAGCTCCTCAAAGCCCTTGTCTTTAATTAATTGTTTAATGCCTGGATAAGGTTCTCCGCGGCAGTGTGACCTATTACCAAGTATGTTAGTAATATTCCGAAGAGCAAAGCAAGCCATCTATAACTCACTTTTCTCTCACAGATGGTAGAGGAGTGCTGGTGCTATTAGAGCCGAATGTTTCCTTGGCCCAGTGCTCTTTGATAATATCAGGGTCAGTCGAGCTACTAGTATTCGTCGTTGCAGATGCAGAAGTAAGCGGCGAGAGCGGGATATCCAGTACAGACGGAGGGAAATCCGAAGAAGTGGTAGAGGAAGGTGACATCGGTGGAGGAGACATATGCGGCGGTCGAGTGCGCTCGTATGACCTCTGCCTTCGTGGATTTCGGTCAATCGCTGGGTGGTCTCTCACTGGGCGATCTCTCACTGGGCGGTCTCTTGCTGGGTGGTCTCTCACTGGGTGATCCCTCATTGGGTGATCCCTCAATGGGCGATCTCTCACTAAGTGTTCCCTCGTCGGGCGGTCTCTCAGCGGACGCTCCCTCGCCGGGCTCGGGGGACTTGCGCGGTTTCTGGTAGGCGAGTCATTCGGACGGAGCATCATGCCTTCCAAGCGAGCAGCAGACCGACTATCTTGCGTGGAGAGTAAAGTCTTGAAGCTACCGACGAGGGTCACGAGGATGGAGGAAGTGTAGTGACCCCTAATAAAGACCAGGAATAAGTATATACATATTACTAGTTTTCTTTTGTGGATCACCTACTCTCTTAGCAAATCAGTGAACTCTTCAAAGGCCGTCTTATACTTGGCTAGGCGGATTGCCAGGTTATGATTTGATTGATCCCAAAAGAACCGGCTCATGGCTACCCACGTGCGTTTGTATTTCGCTTGACTGGCATCGTAGTTATCGAGATCTCTGAAAAAATCACCGATATCCTCGATTGTATATGTGAAACTGGCTTGCACCACATTCAAATCGGGTTTTATCATTTCAAAATAACGGCGGTTTCGGGGATCTTCGGCTAGACGGTCCAAGGTGGTCAAAGTTGAGCTGATTGCGTATAACTCGGACATGAGCGATGTGATCTCGCCAACGTGTTCTGGGAGAGGGTCGCGGAAGGCATAAAAGCCAGCCGCGATGTCCTCGGCGCTCTGACGAGATGCGCGCAACGCATGAGCCATATTATAGTTCACAGGGTCAGGCCATAAGGCTTGGAGGGGTTCTATTTTTTGGGTGGGAGGAGGGGGGAGATATGGTGGGGAGGGCTCTTTAAGGGAGAGGGGCTAGGAAAATTTTAGGAACTAAATAAGCCAATGGGCGCACATACGAACAATTAAGATTATTTAACAAAGACAACAAGTAAAAAAAAAAAAAAAAAAAGGCCCATGAGGCTCTCTGGGCAGGGTTCTCCCTTGCGTCCAAGACCTGACGTGTTCACGCGCGAATGGCGGGGCTTTGTGGAGCCCTCGTCTCTTCGTCAGCTTCAGCCCGTTTCTCTTTTCTCAATCGTAGACCGCTTGTTGAGGATGCAGAGACCTCGGGGATATATACTCGTTATAAGCTCATAAGCTTCGGCTGGTTGACTCAGATTCCATGGTTCACAGGGTATTCCCCAGCCCTAAATGTGGAGAACTGTTCAGTCTTACCTAGGTATGCCCCCCTCACTTAGACCAATCATAAGATACAGTGCCTTGGGATAAAAATACAGAGAGTAGAGTAGAAGATAGACTCTTGGTTCCTGGATTTGGTCGCTTCCTTGTGAAAACTATATATCGCAAAGTCGAAGGGGAAACTATTCAGAGGGAAATGGTAGGAAATCGAGTACTGCAAAGCAAATACCAAGTTAATTAGATTCCTTCACGTGAAAGTCTCTGGCTAGATGCGCTCCTTTTGGGCCTCTAATACTCCACAGCCCAAAGTCTATATATAGTGTCACTGAGCAGACATCACCTTAGGGTCTTAACCATATCTTTCTTCTCACCCACTCCACTTCTCTAGTGAATCATGCCATATAGCGAATTTCACACCCCCTGAGTCGAAGAAATCTGGGAAACGTCAGATACCGCCCTTCACAATACAGATGGCAAAAGTCTCTTTGAGACCGATGATAGAGCCCTGCTGCACAAGATAATCCATCTCAATGATCCCAGACTAAAGCAATATATTTCAGACGGCGATGAACTTTAACCTAAAACTGGCTGGTTTTGGTCGTACTACCACCGGTAGATAGCCGCTTAAAGGTACCTTGCCCCTACAGGCTATACTAATATTTGCTAAACCATCTGAAGGTATATACGGTCTCTACTGTAGTAAAGCTTTTTTGATGGTCTAATTTCTACTTGTTAGTATAATGTCTATCCTATAGTAGCATTGCTAGCGTATAATTTTAATCGTAAGACAAAGGATGGATATAATCTGGAATGCAGAATATATCTCTATTGGATATGTAAAGGAGACAAAGACCTATAAGCATTAGTCCGCTGAGGCTTACTGGAACCTGAGTTGGCTCTCCGCTTTAAACCGGCCTAGCGAAGATATCTAAATGCCATTGCGGAGAGAAGCATGTTTATTTGGCAATGCTTTCTACAGAGAAGATTTTGGATCTGGTCTTGATGATCGGTTGGGGCTTGTATTATTTGACTAGCTGAAGTATCAACCCGAAACAAGGACATGTTATCGTGCAGTGGCTGTTTCATTCAACTTCGCTATTTTTAAACAAGGGGTGGTCTTGTCTTATTCTATTTCCTGCGTAGAAGATTTAGCACCTATTAGCTGGGTAGCTGGACTTACCCCTAGAGGCGGGTAGCAGCCACATAGCCGGTCCCGTCCACTGGCTCTCCGGGAGTTGGAAAAGATTTCAAAGTTGAGGCAACTTTAGAGCGGTACAAGCTTCCTCTCGTTCACGGTTGAGACAGATTAACTCAAATAGACAATGCTCGCGCATATGCGTTGACAAGCCTGGCAAAGTCCCTTTGAAGATTGAATAGATACCCAGTAATGCACTATAGGCATGAACTCGACCACCGCGATGACAGAGCCTCCCTTAAGGAATTCATTGTAAGCTATCGACGCATCAAGGAGATCGAGATGTAGCATGTGGTGCTGATTGGAATCATGTGAATACATTCTCGAGGGGGCGGCGATGTACCCGGACACACCGAATTTGGATGACCACGGTCGACTCTTACTTAGGCAATCGTCGAAACGAACGATAATTCACCGGGGTTGATGCCTACAAAACCTCTTCAAAGGAATTGTTGCAGCTTGTCGATTCACCGGTGTATTTCAGACTTCAAGGCTCCAATATAATTGGCCTAGTATTTCGTGCTGGTAGTGCTGAATCATGAAGCCGGTGTTATGGTGAGACCGTATCATCGTATTGTCGCCCTGTTGTATTCCCGTCTCATCGTGAGTCCCAATTGTAACCGTCTCGTATAATCATCACCCTGTGTGTCATCGTGTCCGGAACGTAATATAATATCCCGCGTATAATCGCACTGTATCACGTCGTATATCGCATCGTCGTACCCGTACCTAGGTAGACCCTCACCCATATTGCATAAGCACACCCTGCGTCTGCGGGTGTGTTCCCTCGCGCTAGCTCTTAGGATACATAGCGGATCCCAGACATCCCCAGAGCTTACTAGAGTCCAAATTAGGACCTCCAGAGCGAGGCTCGAGGGTTTAGGCTCGGGTGATTCATGAATCCCAAGCTCCAGATAGCTGTCGGCTCCTAGTATATCGTAGTTTTCGATGACGCCTTGTGATCAACCACGATGGCTTTTCTGCTGACTTTTGTTTGACATCTGCTTTGATCTGGATTTGAAATCTCCGATGAAAAGTCCACGGTTAGCGGACGAAGCAATATTGATTCGAAGATTCCCACAATCTTTGAAACAAACTCAAGGTTAAGCTTCAAGCTTCGACCCCGGATTATGGGGCGGTGAATGACGCAGGCGGTGAGCCCCGCCTGATTTTGCGGGGCAAAAAAGCCGAGCTCCAGAGAGCTCCCGAAGCTTCCCCGAAGCTCCGCAGCCAAAAATCAGAGCCGAAGTGAGGTCAATCTGAACACGATGCAGAAGACCCCCTGCACAACAGACTGAAGCTTACTTTTCAGTCATCCCCACAATGCAAGTGAGCTTGCCAACCCTTGCCTGCTGTTCTTACGATCGTTTAAAGCTACTTGGAAAATATACTTGGCACTAATTTAAAAGGTTGAGATTTCCCATTGATATCTTAATACCCTCGATAAGAGCAAAGAGGAACAGTTCAGAAGCAAGTAAACCCCAGCCGTCCTCCAAACCCAGAAACCGTGCACGAAACCGTCCGAAAAAAAATCAGGAGAACCATTAGAGAAACACAAACGCCCAGAGGCAAAAGACGAAGTGAAGCTAGAGGGCACTTAAGAGGATTCCTCCTCTTCCTCCTCCTCAGCCTTGGCGAGGTAGGCGGCCTTCTCCTCCTCGTAGCGCTTCTTGTCAGCGGCAGCCTTAGCATCGTAGGGCTTGCGGTCGGTCTCGCTCAGAGCCTTCCACTTGTCACCGAGCTGCTTGCCAACCTGACCTGTAGGGGTGTTAGATATGTACAACAAAGCCGGGAAAGAGATTCACTGACCGAAGCTGATGCCGGGGTTCTCCTCGCGAACCTTGTCGCGGTTGTCATTGGCGAAGAACATGTAGGCGGAGAGACCACGCTTGGGCGCGTTGGGGTCTAGTAAGTAAATTAGTACAAGTCGGTGACAACCAGTTTACTTTGTTGACTTACCCTTCTTGCGGCGCTGGACGCGCTTCTCGGGGGCCTTGCGGGTAGACTTGGTGGTGCTTTCCTTAGGCATGATGACTGTTGAAGGTCAGATGTGATTTCTAAGAATTTTTGCCACAACAGGTGTATTGCAGAAGAAATGAAAGGGGCAATTGAGTCAAGTGTAGGTTTGCATGCGCAATTGACATGGAATTGAAAGGAATAGAAGTGGAGGTGAGAGAAAAGAATGGTGGACGCGAAGTGTTTGCTAGACGCGTTGCGCGCAACTCAATCACTTGCGACCGAGGGAAAACAGAGCTTCAAGATGATAGGGATAAGACCAACTCACATGAATTCGAGGATCACGAATTAGAATATGTTGAAAAAAAAGGACTGTGGGTTTTCAAGTTAGTTAGGTGGACAAAAACATAGATCAAGATGCAGCGCGCGACCACAAGGTCGGCGCAAATTGGAAAAAAAAAAGACAGGCAATGAGGTGAAAATAAAGGATTCTAAGGACCAAAAGAACTGGAAAAAAAAGGGGTTGTGGTGGTGGTGGAGGAAATGTGATTCAGAAGTGTTGATTTATAGAACTCGGTTGATATGCAGTACCTTTTTTTGTATGGGAGGGAGTTTGTATGGGGGGAGTTGGTAGTGTAGGAAGATAGTAAGAGAAGAGAAGAGTAGAGGGGGGAGGGCCGTAGTAGTAGCAAAGAGAGGGGGGCCACAGCAAGGGAAAGGCAAGCACGGTTTCGCTGGTTTCGCTGACTGGCTGAGAGAAAACGTATGGTTCAATACTTGTAATTTACACTGGCCACCATACTATTTACCATGGATTTTTGGAAATTTACGTATTATTTCCCCAATTTACCTTGAAAAATTCCATTTAGATCGTTTCCAATTGATTTTATTCATGCACAATCTTTTTTTTTTTTGGGGATTTCAAAGAGAAATCTTTGTGGGCAATTATATGTGTTGGGGAATTCAATACGGTGTTATGAAACGAGACCATCATTCCGGCACTTGGAACTTGTGGATTGCGCTCCGTCATATTAATAAACCGCGCAAACGTACAGGTACACAGTACGCGGTAACACCATAGTAAAAGGGTCTGCTCGGGAAGTACCCCATACCTGTCATTACCATGAGTGTTTGCCATCCAATTTGATATAACTTATGTTGCAACATTTGTTCTATTGAATAATACTATAGGCAACGATGCTCCTTTAGCCTGCAGTTGTTGCAGGTAGGCTACAATGAATAAGTCATAAATATTACAGAAAAACCGCCTCATAAGAGACATGCGGAAGGAGGTAGAAATAACAAGGAAGCATTTCATAACCTTCGGATGTATTCACTTTGGGACAGTCTTTTTTGTACAGACATTGGATATTATGGACTTGCTTCCATATGGTATAGCGTATAATGGCTTTGGCCGCGAGTTGCAAGGTCATGCATAGGTACATATTGACTTATACGGGGTACCTTTGCGGTCCTAGAAAAGAAACAGGTCCCAATTCACTATCATTGGCACCATTATTCCCTCTAGTGGATAAAATAAGAATTCAGAGAACAAGGTCTACTTAAACTCTCGGTGTCAAAACCATTGATGTTATCATTCAGTTGAGAATTCTGTGTAATAGTGCAAACCCTAATTATTACAGACGCAAAGCATGCCTGGAGGTGTGTGTGTACATAAAAGTGTTAGTATTGAACTATCATCTTCAGGCAAGGGCGGATGGTTGCTCAATCATAAGCGTGGCGTACCCTTTTAGCGTAACCCCAATTGAAAACACGGCTGGGGAGGTACTTAGGAACATGGAAGGAACACTGAAGTATTGACATTGATCATCCTATTGATAAGGGTCATACGTGTTCTAGACTAAGAAGTATGAGAATAGGGCACAGAGTTATCGCTATTTTCTTAGCCCGAGGATTACATATCTACGCCCAGACTCTAGGGCTGGTTACAAAGTGAAACGGTATGGGAATGGAACGGCTTAGAATAGATGATCAAGCTTAGACTCCTTCCTTACAGAGCCGGATCACACCATCATCACAAGCTAAATTCAGAATGGATATCTTTTTTTCTAATATGAGGAGACTGTAGCATGGATATTCCATATAGTGTACTCTTACTGCTTCAGTCGCTTAGATTTCTAATTATCTTGCAGATACCATGGAGTACAGAGTACTCTGTAGGCTAACATCTTGCTAAAGTTCACAGATTGATAGACCAAGAGTAAAAGTCCGTACTCCGTACACAGTACAGAGTAGAGATAGCCAAATCCATAGAAACGCATAGGCCACCGGTGGACATTCTGGTGTTCCCTCAGCAAAGAAGTCCCTTTTTTTTTTACACATACCGATGATACTGCAGTACTGCAGTACTGAGTGTATGGCGGGCCAATCCACCCGTAATGTACTGCATACAGTTCCACGCCTTCCGACAGGAAAGCGTCATAGAGTCATAGAGTCCCGTCTGTATTAGACTCCAAATCATTTTATATCTCATCTCAACCTAATTAGAAAGGGAGCTAGTTATGCATTTGTCCGAGCTTAGAGCCCTTACCTCTTAAGACGCGACGAGAGTCTATAATTGTACACCGCTGTGTATAGCCGTCATTATTGCAGTACTGTTGGACTCAACCTGTTGCCCTGGTAATAATTATTATCCAGTCCACATTATTCGGTCCAAAATTACCATTTTTTTTTTCTTTCTTTCTTTCTTTCTTCTCAGGAATAGAAATCGAAATTTCCAGAGAGTTGGGTATTATTGTACAGCGCCTGTGCTCCCAAGTACAGTTAGGGGCCGGAATTAGAGAATCGTAAAAAACGGGCAGCGGAACGCGTCCACACAAAAAGAAAAACATCAGTCATCACTTTCATCGAGCACCAACGCGCGCAGAATGTCGTCATCGGCCCAATTTAGTCCACTGGCAACAACTACAGCACTTGCGATGGACTTCATAGTCTCCCATTGAGCTTTGCGCGTTTTTAAATCTGTTTCAAACCTGTCCAGTTGCGATAACAGCTCGGGGTCTTCAAGCTTCTCTCTCCAGGATGAATCTTCTTTCGTGAGCTCTAGTAGCTGGCGTACTAGTTCCTGGTTTTCGCGATTGATCTGTAGATTCTTTACTTCCAGGTTTGAGAGCTGTCTCATCACCAAGTCATGGGCCGAGGCAAGATTCTCATGTGCAAGTGCAAGCACATCGCGACGATTTACTAGACAAAGAAGGGCTCTGTGTACGCCGCTATTAGACTTGGTCTAGCTCAAGGGCTTTTCGTGGGTACGTACCTCTCAGCAGGGGTTGCAGCCTTCAGGTGAACAGCTTTGAGAATAGGCTCGGTCATGAGGATGGTGCGAACGGCCTTCCTTCTGACTGTGTAAGTAGATCGGGCCTCGAGGAGCTCACGTTCCGCGATTGTGAGCTGCTCTTCGGCATCCGCGCCCGAAAATGATTCCAGTTCTAATATTATGAAAGCGATTAGAAAAGAGGACAAACATCAAAGCAAAAAAAAAAAAAAAGTATCAAGCATAGCGGAGCTTTTATCAGATGTACCTTGTTCGAGGAATGCCTTTTCTAGCTGTTGTTCCTGGACCTGGTTGTAGAGCTGCAGCACCAAGGCCTCTTTATCCGATAAAGTCACGACATCCCGAGAGTCATCTGCAGAATAATCTAGTAGTGTCACCTCACCAGATTGCAGGTGAGGCAGTGACTGGCCATGTTTTTCAGCCATGGATGTAGATCCCATGAACGCGGGCGGTATCTGGTGATAGGAAGATGAGACCGGAGGCGGTGGACGAGCTTCCCCGGCCACACGAGGTTGCGGAGCAACCTTCAACGTCCTGACCAGCCTGATCGGGGGCTTCAGGACTCTCATTATTTCCTTTCTTCCCTTACGTGTATTTTCTTCTCTGGGAAATCTTTCTCACATTTCTCTTTTACTGAGCATCTAAGCTCGCCTGGTGCGGAGGGGGGTAATGTCGTTGCACATCTACATTGCTCACACTGGGGAGCATTTCCTGGCTGGTCCAGTGGCATTCGCCTCGTACGTATCCACTATCTCTATTTGATGGTGTCTACTATCTATTTATCGATGTTTGAATGGACTGTCCGAACTCCAGCTGATGACTGTCTATCGTTTATAGTCCCGATGCTTTGAAGTCATGGATTGTGCGCGAGACATCTATTCCGCCTCCACGGCAAATATTGATGACCGCCCGGGGAAAGAATGTCAAAATTCAAACGCTCGCTACCGAGGTGCGACATTATCAATATCAATGATGACGTGGAAATAGGCTAACTCGTAGGCAATTATCGCAGAACGAGATCTTTGTATATGATCGACAATACGTCAGTGAACCAGGCGATGTCGAGTTTCCGGAACTACCTCCTCCTGAACCATTCCGACCCGGTACCCCGCCAGCTATCCTCAAAGACGTGAACGACCTTCAGGCATGGCGGAACCTCTATATGACCCGGCGAAACTGGGCACTGGACTTGTCCAGTCGCTGTGGGTCGATTGATAAGAACCTCCGAGAACATAACGAGCGAACCGATGTCATAAATCGCGCGGTGGGCGTGGCTCTGGAGAATCTCAAGTCTCATGTGGGGAACCTAGAGCATCGGTTCCAAGAGGCACAGTCGTGGGCGAATAGCCTTCTAGAAGAACAGCAGGCTGCTATAGATGGCTGGCAACGAGCTCTTTCAACACTGGACAACATCCCGGCACGTAAAGATTTCCCTCTTCTTGGACGCCCGTCCACGCCCAAAATGGACAAGGATCGACCGACCGGAACGCTGCGTGACTTTGTCGATGTAGGGGAGGTTCAACGGGCTGGATCAGAGGCGGCAACTGTGTCGTCTGCCTTTGCTGGTAGCGTCCATGATGTCGAGAAGACAATCGGTGACATCGCTTCGGACACTCAACAACTGGTGGACGACGCGCTTGCCTCAAATTTTGACGGGGTGGATGGGCTGCTGGAAGAAGTGGAGACTATTGCGAAGAAGATCGGGTCTGATTATGAGCATGTTCTCAGTCTGCCAACCAACCAGAAAACGTTGGCCAATATATCTAGACTTGCATTGAGTCATACCCAGGACCTTCTTCCTTCGTTAGTGGAGATCAGCGTCGAGCTTCAAGCTGCGCTGGAGCATGCTGTGCAGCGCCGGGGAGCTGTGGAGAAATCGGCCATTGTGCATATGCGCACAATTTCCTCCCTTGAGTCTAGACTTGCCGACGCCCATGCACGAATGGTCAATCTGGACGTAGGGAGTAATGCCTTTGAGGTCATCTACTCTGTCTTCCAAATGCCAATGGTGTATGGGTCGATTCTTATCGAATCCGTGCGGCGGCGAGAATGGAGTGATAAGATCAAAACTGACTCCCTGACGCTGGCCGAGGAGATGGCAATTTTGAGAGATGAGGAGCAACGCCGCCGCAAAAAATGGCTAAAGAATATGGGAGACTTTATGACTGTGACTGATTCCACCACACCAGGAATCGAAGTCAACCTTCAAGGTCAGGATGAGGAATGGCCTGAAGTAGCTCGGAAAGAGATCGAGTATTACATCGACGATTTAAAGACCACTCATTCCTTGACCAACCTAGCGGAGCAACTCACCCAGCAACTCAAGGAGCTGGATGCACCCACTCGGCAGCAAAGACGACGGGCCAAAGCGTTCAAACAAGGCAGCGTATTTGACTTGAGCCGGAGCTCCATCTTACGCGCCGATGACTCCGTCCGTAGCTTGCGAGAAGATAAGACAAAGCTAGAAGAAAGGCTCAAGGGGTCTGACAGTCGCGTCCGGAAATTGGAAGACCTTTTGCATCGCCAGAGTCAGCTCAGCCGGCCATCGAGTGGCACTTTCGGCCCAGACTTCCCCGGTTCACCTGCTTCTCCACACCCTGATGCACTCTCTAGACGGTCATCCGTCTCTTCAAGGCGAGTCTCAGCGACTCAGTCTCCAGAAGACAAAGCACTCATCCAGCGTATTGTTACGCTTGAAGCAGAGCTGGCGGCTGAGAGAGATGTGGTTCAGAGACTCCATAAGGAAGCCCACGCCGAGCGGCAAACCAACTCCGACAAGTACCAAGAAGCTCAATCCACCAAAAAGGACCTCATAGGCAACCTTGAAGCGCGCCAACGCGAATTCGAAGATGAGCGCCGATATCTGGACTCGGAGTTAAAGAAGTTCAGACTCCGTACCGAGGAAATGGAAGAAGAGCTTGATCGACTCATGGATAGTAGAGAGCATGGAAGACAGGAGCTTGACGATCGGATGCACCAACTCGAAGTCGATCTTGAAAATGCTCACGCCAATTCCGCCGAGGACGCACAGAAAATCATTGATCTTAATTCACAGATTCAAACTCGGCAAGAGCGTGAAGACAGCCTCCAGGCTAAGATTCATGATCTCGAGCATCGACAAACGGAGTTTGAGCAAAAGCATCAAGAAAGTTACCAAGCCCTCGGAGCTATCTTCATGAACCTCTCGCCTGGGGGTATTGTACCTGTCGAACTTCCCGACATAATCAAAGCCATTGAAGTTCTCTCTGAGGGTCTGTCGATTCACGCCAAGAGCGCGGAATCAAATGCATCCCAGGCAATGGCTGATAACAAGGCCCTTGAAACACAAATTGGCAAATTCGAGTCGGAGGCAGAAGAGCGGACAAAGACCTTGGACGAATGCAAGGCCGAATTGTCGCGAATAACTGCAGATCTCTCAAGCGCGCGATCCAACTCGGAGCACTTGACCGGTGAACTGGAAAAAGAGCGATCCAAGTTCAGTTCCTTGCACTCCCAAATAACTGCCGGAGAGAGTGGTTCCGAAGCGCTGCGTGAACAAGTCGCCGAAGAGGAACGGAAACAGGCAGAGCTATCACAGAAACTGACTGAAGCTGAAAGTGAAGTTCAAAATTTGAAAGATCAGGCCACAGAATGGGAGAGAAAAGCAGGGGCCACCTCGGAGACCGAGGAACAGGCTGTGGCGCGATTCGAAGCTCGGGGTACCAAGTCCTTCGAGCTTTCAAATCAACTCTTCGCGCAGGTTGAGAAACTGGGTCGGATGCTCGAGCAATTGGGTTTCACCATCATTCAGCAAGACGGCCAGCTCCTTGTCCAGCGTGCTTCGAAGCTCAGTGCATCGTTGGGCCTGGGTGAAAGCCTCGCCCAGTCAGGTATTGTAACCCTGAAGCCGGATACAGCGCTTCTAGACTGGATGAAAGCCGAAAGCCCGGAGGACGAAGATACCAAATTCTCGGCTTTCATGGAAAGTCTAGCTCAATTTGACGTGGCCCTATTTGGTGATGTTGTCGTCAAACGTGTCAAGGACATCGAACTGTTAGCCCGCAAATGGCAAAAGGAAGCTCGCGGCTATCGTGAAAAATACCATCGAGTTCAGAGCGAAGCTCATGACAAGATTGCCTACAGATCCTTCAAAGAAGGCGACCTTGCTCTCTTCCTTCCCACACGAAATCAAGCCATTCGCTCCTGGGCAGCCTTCAACGTGGGTGCGCCGCACTATTTCCTCCGCGAGCAAGATTCACACAAACTCCAAGCTCGAGACTGGCTTCTCGCCCGCATCACCAAGATCGAGGAACGAGTTGTAGATCTATCCAAATCAATGAACGGTGTCGCATCGGACCGTCGCTCCCTCGGGGACACCAGCGACGGCGCCTCTCTAGCCGACGAGAACCCATTCGAGCTTTCGGACGGCCTCCGTTGGTATCTCCTCGACGCCGTAGAAGAGAAGCCCGGTGCGCCTGCCACACCAGGCATAGCGAAGAGCACAGTTGCATCGGCGCACGTTGATGCAAAGGGTAGCATCCGCCTCAAACGTGGTACGGACGAGGGCGCCATTGCCAAAACCCTATCTAGGAGCCTTGATAGCCGCCGCGAGAGCTCGAATTCTAAGCGAGGCACCCCAACGCCGTCACAACACGCTGTCGAATCCACGACTGATCTTGTGCGCCTTGCCGAAGCTGACGCTGGCTCGCAGCCTAGAGAGGCTGCTCCGATCTTCGACCAGGTTCGCCGTGACTTGCTCTCCGGCCCGTGAAAAGTAGGGATTGACTATTTATCTTCCATCTTTTCCGGGTCTGTTTTAAAATGATCTGGCATGGGGTGCTAATGCTTTTCTTTGGCTTAGGATCCTCTTTCTGCATCGGCTCAACCAAAAATAAGTGGCACCGCTTCTTCTCCCGCTCGGTCGACGTCCGATCGTAGACATAATGGCCGATCTCGCCCGTGGGAGAAATTGTGGTCCCTTGATTATCGACTCGAGGGTAGCAGACCATAGAATGTTTTCTTTTCCCCCCCTGTTTTTACAAGCTGCGGTGCACTAGGGCATTGCGTGGTTCGTTTTTTTTGGGGGGTTGTCCCCTCAATGCGTGCACCGCAGATTGCGCGCTATTCGGGGATCTATACATGTCCCATTTGCTTTTGACATTTAGTTAGTCCAGATACCCAACAATGCAATTTACAATTAAATATATCGATCTACTTGAAGTGGTGTAGAGCAATTTACAGAGTGAGTAGGTCGAGGTTGAGTTAACTGCAAGGGAAAGGATGATCATAAAACGATAAATCACTAGTCTAATCCTTCGACACCTTCCATGCCGCCCATGTCATCCCAAAATTTACTGAAGTCAACGTTCTCATCTTCGAACATCTGCTTCGCTTGCATCATCGCAGACCGTTGCCGTTCCGCAGTGAAGCCACCAGGCTGCGAGCTCTCCCATTGAATCAGCTCGACCCAACGGAGGAAGAGATCCTCCTTGCCCATCTCGGCCAACTTCTCCTTGAAGGCGAGGATTTGGTCGCGCTGAGCGGATTGCTTTTGGTCAGTGGGGGTATTTTCATCCCCGACACGCCAGATCAGCCAACCGTCAGCATCAGTGTTAACCAGCACGGCAGTGCGGAATTCATCCATCTGTAAACCATCGCCTCTGCGAGTGCGACCAACAAGAGCATGGGCGCGGACCATAGCCGCATAGTCTAAGCTCCAATGCTCGTCCACGAGCAAGTAACCGGTCTTTCCGATTCGCTCCGGAGTCACAGCGGCAACGATCTTATCGCGACGCACCTCGTCTTCACGAATCCACCTGTTGCGCTCGAGCTCCTTGCTCCAGCTGCGGTTACTGCGGCGAACGATGACCTCTCGCTCACGGAAGCCGATGGCACGACGCCAGCGCACGGGCCCTCTGATGAAATTAACAGGCCACGACCACAACAGGGTCACCAGGAAGTAGTCAAGGCATATAGTTCCCGTCCGGCGTATGATGATCTGTACCGAGTCTATCCACGAGGTAGCTGCCATGTCCACGGTCATGGAACTTTGGAGCCCGATCAGCGTTGCCACGAGGGCTGGATATGTGCTGATTCCCATGTACACCCGTAGGCCAATCACAGCTGCTACTACCAGGTTGACGATGAGGGGTACGGTGAAGGTTTGCCGCTTCAGTTCCTCTGCTGTGTCATCGATGTGGACTAAGTATACTTCGTCGGAGGAGAGTGGGGCAACGAAGGGTTGCAGGGCTTCTGGGACTTTGGTGAATGGTGGGATTGGGCCTGAGGACGCGGAGCTTGGTGTTGAGGCTCCAGATGATGTTGGAGTCGTCTTGCCGCGACTTGAGCGACGTGCTGATTTTGCCATGGTGTTGATAGGTATATCTTCCACTGAATTGCTTGGTATAATCTGAAATGAAGCTTTGTCAAGGGCTTAGAATGCGAGTCTTGTGGCTTTTATCGAAGCTTTCGAGGATAGGGCGAGTGAACGTGTCACATGTCAAGACAATATAAGGGTCATTTGGGCATCACGAAATTGTAAATTCTCTCCTGATAATGTCTCAAGGGAAAATAATGTGAGTAGAAGACAAGCAGATAAATTATTGAAGGAGTCGACGTAATGCGGAAGGAATTCAAACGGCCTAACCACATTGGGGAATGAGAGCCTATTTACCTCCGTCATTTCTTCACAGTGCAGGAGAACCGCGTTTTTCTCCCTTTTCCCTACCTTTTCTACATGTGAACCCTCTGCAGGCTGCAAGGGGTATTTCGGTCATGTCATTCGATAAAAACAATCGAGTCTCGCGCGACAGACAACCGTCACCTTTCCGACGCGCCTCGAAATTCGACCATTACGATATACCCACGAAGCTCCCATCACCTCCTCAAGAAGATGGTCCGCATCCACGACACGCTATTCGCCCAAGATCTCTAGCCGATGCGTATCGAGACGCATCAAAACGCACCATGTCCGCCACATACGACGAGGAATACAACTTTGTGACATCACCAAGCCCGCGATCGAAGCGGCAGCCGAATAACGCGTTCTCGCCAATATCTCAGACTTCTCCTCCTCCCAAAGAACTTGAGGATGCATATAGGCGAATTAATGAAGATGACGCTCTAGCCGATCTCGTTCGCGACTATGAATGGGAGCCGCAGTACAGTGCACGCTCCGGAAGCCGAAGTCGCCCCCCGTCCTCCCGAGCAAGGGACACAAGCAACGGCAGGGGATCTGCCAATGGACGACCCTTCTCCGAGGCAGGTTTTGGCGATGAACTCGGCGACTACCGAACCCGCAAGAGCAGGGACTATACCAAGGATGAAGAGCGCCTAAAGCGCGTCACAGGCCAACGCTCGCCGGTCTTCAGCAGGGCTCAGGTCGGAAGAGATGCCTTGACGGCAGATAATTTGAGAAGAAGAATGGAAGACAAAAATGAGGTGGATCATCCTGTGCCAGAGACTGACAGGAATGGTGTTCCTTCCCCGAATATACCCACTGGCTGGGGTCACCGGGCAGGTCACCGACAAGAATGGGAGAGAAAGCCCAGCCAGAGAAGTGTCTCCGAAGAAGAAGAGGAAAAAGCGCGTCGACGCTGGTCACCAGCTGCGGAAGGAAATCAATCCCCCAAGCCTACGCGTACCTCTCCTCGTTCTCCGGCGCGGAGCACACTTTCTGCTAGAAACGCGCTCGAAGAACGCACTGCCAATCCGTATATGCAGGCAACGCAGGAGGACTTCCGTGAAACGCAGTCTGGTCCAAAGCTGATCTCACCCACTAGTGGTGGTGAACCAATTCCCAATTCACCTATCACAGTGTACAAAAACTCGTCATTCGCGAGGCCCAGCCCCAGCAAACGTGACTCCCGGGATCTACTACGCAAACTTTCCAGGACTGAAAACACAAAAATTGATCATGTCCAGACTCCCCAACCACTCAAATTGTTTGAAAGCAAAATCTATGATAAAACCCCTCGGGTAACTGGCGCATGGATCGATACTCCTATGACCCAACGGGTGACTGAGAAGATCGAGCTTCCCGAAGATCTGACTAAAGACATCATTCCTCCACGCATAACGGATGAGGCCAATGATATTGCACCCGCTACAAAACCAAAGGATGTCAAATCAAAAGTCGAGGAACAGAAGCCAGCGCAGACCATCGAGAAAGAGCCCCTTCCTAAATCAATTGCAGGGAAGGAGTCAAGGCCCCCGTTGCAGCGACCTCATCTACCTAAGAGTGCCTTGGAGACGGTCATTGAGGATGCTAGCTCAGGCAAAGATGTCGAGTTCGGAGATGATACCATCGAGTCCTTGCAGGCATTTATGGACGCCGGGTCCAGTGAATCCAAAATTGAGGAAGATGACGAAGCTTATGAAAAGGCCGTCCTCGCCCAGCTCCAAAATTCCAGCTCAAAAGAAAATGACGTGGTCAACATGGATTCATTGAATATTAAGCTCAACTCTTTAATGAGACATATTGACGAAGTCAAGAAAGGGCTTGACGGTCTGGAAGGCCATGTTACCCGAGACACCGCAATTGTTTCGCAAGCAAGCTCTTTATCCAAGAAGAACCCGCAGTCATCACACTTGCACACAGGCGAATCTTGCAAAGGCTGCGGCACGCACTCAGATGGACGAGTCTACGCCGCGATACCTCTTCCTCGGTTGTGGAACCGGAGCGCGCGATCCCAACGCCTTCGGCCGACCAAGCTCGGCTGGTTCATCATTATCTCACTCTCGTGGTACATCATCGAATGTCTGATGTGGGACCAGTATAGTCATCCCGAGATATCCGAAAGCTGCGAAGGCTACTGCCTGCAGCCCGATGCGCCTTTGTACCCTTGGGTAACCGTCACAATGTTGTGGCGCTGGTCACATCTGTCGACTATTTTCACGCCCATTTTCGCTATCTGTGTTGCTTTCTCTCGACTAGTGGCACAGTTGATGGGTCTTTCGGATGGCTACGTGGATGATGCGCCGGAGCTTGGAAATATAGTTGGCGAGATCCGCATCAACGGAACGCCAGTTGCGTTCCCTTGGCTCTCAGCCCCCACAGCTGAAAACATTGTGCCTCAGCCACAACAAGTTCACTATACACAGCAGCCTATGCAACCAGTGGAGCCTGTCTGGTCAGCTCGGAACCCGCCCCCGCAGAGGTGGGACAGTGACCAGCTGTCGGCTGAGGATGCAATGGACGATGATGAATATCTTTAGCTCGCAGTGTTGTTCTTCAAATTCTCACGACGTTTGCTTCTTTCGGTGCATTTCGCTCCGAGTCAGGTGAATGGCTTTTCGGTGGCTCTCAGTACCTAGTTCATGGTTCTAATTCAGCATGGTTTGAGCTACTATCTAATGCAATCTTGGGTAGCGATTCATTGCCACAGAGACCAATTCTGTGAGAAAGTAATTAAGCATCCAAGTCATATAGATAGCCATATAAACGCCTAAATATACATGTAAGGTAGTGGGACTAGACCCTGGAGGGCTATCGCCCATCCATTACAAAACCACTTTGTCGTCAGAGTCATTAAATTAAAAAAATAGGGTATTGTGACGCAAAATGAGAGAAAACCATGTAAAACAACTCACAACCGCGCTTTCGCACGCCATTGCTTCCGTATTTCGATCTCTCCCTCCAGCTTCCAAGCAGAAATTCTCTGCATGAGTGCCACAACCTGCTCATCACTGATTTCACAGGCCTTTTCAATCGGGATCTCCTTTTTCAACTGCAGCTTGAAGCCCAACCAGGTGAGATTCCCGGTCGACACAACCCGGCCGGCAACAGCATCACGACAGAACCCAGCCAAGCTCTCGAAGAAACGATGGCTAGATGGCCTGTTCAGCATAAGGAGACCGTGACAGTGCGGCATACCCTCGAACATCTCCGCAACGAGGGGCACACCGGCCTGGTAGACGCGGCGCGCTACAATAAGACCCTCGTCCGTGAGACCTTCCTCGCCAGTTGAGATCCAAATAGGCGGTGCGTTCTTCCACAGCTCAGCCGGGGCAGCGAGCGGAGACACTAATGGGTGGCTCAGCATGCTGGCGTTGCAGTAGATGTCAGCACGAGGCGGGGACGTGGGCCATATATCGTCTGGCGCGAAAGGCAGCGGGGTAAACAGAGTTTTAACAGTTGGGTCGTCAGAGGGTACAAGCGGTGCCTCGAGGTAATCAAGGTGTGCATTGCCGCTGGTAGATGGCATTGAGCGCGTCACGTCGCACCATGGGGAGATAATTGCGACGCCTGCGGGTAGTTCGATGGGCACATCTTCACCATGGAAGCGGATTGTGTGGGATGCGCGCTCGAGGGTCAAGAGTGTTTGAAGGAGGACAAGGGAGAGGTTCCCACCTGCGGAATCGCCGGCGAATATGATCTTGTTCGCTGGAACGGGTTTGTGGAGGGAACCCGGAGGGGGATGGAGGAGTGAGAGGTATGCTGTTAAGGCGTCGACAAGTGCGGCTGGGAATGGGTTTTGAGGAGCGAGACGATATCTGACGGAGAAGACGGGAGCGCCGGTCAAGTGGGATAGGTGTGCGACAGGGACGCGGTGGGTGTAGGGATCTAAAAGGCTTTTATTGATTTGGATGCGTTAGCTAGGTACACGGTTGTTAGGTACAGGAACAAGCGACACTCACAAATAGGCCCCTCCGTGGAAATACAAGATCGTCATATCAGACGGCGATTCCTCGCGCAGCTTATGGTATTTCTCCTCTTCTGAGAGATCGGGCTCTGGTGTTTTCTTTCCAACTCCGGCGCGGTGACCGGTCCATTCGGCTTCGACAGCGACAGTTGCGGGAAGATCGTATGTCTCATCGCCGGTCTTGAGATATTCAATTGCCCGTAGTACTGCATCGCGCACCTCGATCTCGGGCTGCGGGAGGGTCACCTTGGACACCCACATGGGGCCCTTGACTCCGGGGTCGCGTAGGCCTTGTTTTTGGATTTTGCCGAGTGGAGCTTTTGTTCCTATGAATGAGCGAATAATTGCGACGGTTAATTCGGTGCGCATATCCTGTTTCCCCTTGACGGGGGACAGTTGAATGCCATGCAGGAGGATGGTCTTGAGGATTAGCGGGATGCGGACTAGTAGCGCCTTCAAGAGGCCGAGAGGTTCCCTAAGCGAGCTCATGATGCTAAGTGAGCAACTCTGAGCGCTGGCTACTGCGAAATAATGAAAAGAGAGGTTAAAAGCAAAAGATTTGAAGACCTACCAAGTCTTTTAGATCTTAACCTTGGAAGATGCTAAACCGGATTTTGTACCTGAGTGGCGTTATGCCGAGGTCCCGACGTGGAGCATCCATCTTACCCCACAAGCCCTAAATTCTGAGATGTCTCACATCGATCTGATTGACTAACTATATCCATAGTGGTACCATTAGGTATCATCCATGGATGAGGGCTGTCCTGTAGTGAAGTTCACCTAGTTTATTAATACACTGTCGTCAGGATAAGTCATATATTCTAGACTACGTAGGTAGACAAGCCTTGAAACACTCTGATATTGCAGCATTGGTTGTGAACATGCTTATAACACACACAGTACTCATCATAGAAGGGTGATGGGCATACAATGTCGTCTTTACCACATATGAGGAGTGTATATATTGAAGACTATGCTTAAAAACGGCATCAAATATGGCCGTTTCTGGCTCGCTGTATAAGTTGAGCCACAGGGTATATTTATTAACGAAAAAGAAAACATAGCCCCCTGGGCCATTTTTCAATGATGTCAGACAGTGAATAATCAGTGATCTGAGCCATCATATTCCCCAAAATATCATATTAAATGTTGATATCCGGCCCAATCGGCCCTGTCGGCCCTGGGGCCAAGTCCAACCAACCTAATCCGGTGTGTGGTGATGACTAATCCTGAGCCTCAGGCCAAAATCCTCATCTTTAATTCTAGACCTACCTTCGTTTGTTTCAGGCTCTTTCGTTTTTGATGTCTTCACTTTGCACGCCTAAAGGCGACACTTCTCTGTCTATCCACTGTATATTTTACTGAGCATAATCTATCTTGTGGATGCTTGCATCTTGCATGCCCGTTTTCCCTATCATCCCATCTTCTTCACCACCCCACCACTCAATTTGACCGATCACCCCGGGACATGTTCATGGTAGTAAGTCAGGCGAACACAACTCAATAACTTGAGAGATGGAGGAGGGTACTATCTTCGGCGACGACTTGCCGCTTCCACCAGCCCGACTTTTCGAACGATTAGGCCAGTTACCTGGCTATACCTGGGATCAGGCGATCGAACCGTTTCACTCGACATACAATCACTGGCATATCTCAGGATACCGCCATGCATTAGAACCGGATGTTTTAACTCCTCTCGCAAATTCCTCCAATCCTACTTCCTCCGGACCGTCGAGCCTCACGCGCTTCTCCCCACGCACGGAAATCCGACCATCCGCCCGTGCCTTGCGAAGATTGAGCGCAAGCGAAACCAGTAGTGAGATTTCGCTTTCCAACCAACATAGCCTCGAAACAGATCAAACATGGATACCTGTCATCGCGCGAATCTCCACCAACATTATCCGGCTCGAACGAGAGTTTCACATGCTCAGGTCAATTGTACAATCGTCAGATCCGGACTGCAATCATACAATACGACCAGTCGACTTGATCAGGTTACAGCCAGATGACGGCCACTCGAAGACGCTGCTGGTTGCAATTTTTGAGTCTCCAGGCTATGATAGGTTGCGGGATCTAGTTACATTTGGCCCTGCCTCATTTGCGGCAGGGTCCAGAGGTGAAGATAACAATGCCACCCCCAGTGAGCAGGTCTCCTTACAAGCTTTTTTCGATTTCGCAATCGGGGCATGCGATTGTTTGGAGATTCTACATTATGGCCTAAAGACAGTGCACGGCGAAATCAGAGGTGATGCGTTCCATTTTTGTGCAGAGACTGGTGCAGTGAAACTCGCGAACACCGGCAACGGTGCTAGATCCTTTGATAACGTTCTCAGCGAGGGCTGGTCCTCCGTTTCACGCGAGCTGGGAGCCAAGTACAAGCTACAATTTATCGCTCCAGAGCAGACTGGAAGGATGCCCACAGAGCCGGATAGTCGTACTGACATCTATGCGCTGGGGGTCTTTTTCTGGTCCATGCTGGTGGGAAAGCTACCATTTGAAGGAACCGACCCCGTTGATGTGGTACAAAATGTACTAGGCAAGAGATTGGTGCCAGTATCTGGGAAACGAATGGATATTCCGGATGCTCTCTCGGCTGTGATCCAAAAAATGACCCAGAAGATGGTTCATGATCGCTACCACACAATTTCATCTGTGAAGAGAGACTTGACCCATATTGCGAAATTGCTTGGTGATGGTGACAGTGAAGCATTGGGTAATTTCCAAGTCGCACAAGGTGATGTCTCTTCTTTTTTCACTCTCCCAACGCAGATGTTCGGGCGGCAACAAGAATATGACAAGATACTCCATATCATCGAAAAGGTCAATAAGCGCCAGGCGGCTGCCTTGGCCAAAGCCGGAACCCAAAGTCCGGGTACAATGCACGCACTCACATCGGCTTCCTCCGTATCTGAAAGCCGCATCGAAAGCCTCGAGTTTGCTTCTGTCTCTAGTGATTCTGGCTCCTTCCATCTGCCTCCTCGATCGTCTTCCAATGTCACCAGTCATCATCTCGCACAAATAAACACCCTTGAACCTGCGCCGGGTAGTGATGCATCATTTTCCACTCCGAGGCATACAATTATCCCCGATGCGTATGGCCAAAGCCCAGGAGCAGCTTCCAGCAGAGTCAAGAGCCCATCGCACTCTCGGTCTTCCCATAATACAGACCGTGATAGTCAGCCCTCCATAGGTCCTCCCAGTCAACAATCAACAAACCACACTGTCAGTCAATCTGGATCGCTCCATTCATTGAATAAACCGAAAAAGAATGCAAAGTCTCGCCGCAGCGAGCGTTGTGAAGTGATCACAATCAGCGGTCCCGCCGGGATTGGAAAAACGGACCTGTTAAATCGGATACAACCAACAGTTCGCAAACTCGGATGCATAGCAATCACTCGTCTGGACCGAGCCAAACGTGTCCCATTTGAACCCTTTGCAAAACTATTAGCAAGTCTTTTGCGCCAAATTTTCTCCGAACGCGATGTCACCACAGATTACCACAATAGTGTTAGAATGGCCCTGCGACCTATGTGGCCCACTCTCCACAGAGTTTTGGGTCTTCCCGAGCGGCTGATGTCCCCTGGTGCGAAATACAGACCGAGTGAAGCAAATGCCAATCTTCTCGTACCAGATAAGGGTGAGCCATCCAAGCACGTCAACATCCCCGGGCTGGATCAAGGGCAGACTTCCCAAGATTTCTTTTTGGCGAATGCTGCCTCGAAGAACATGCGGCTCATGGAGACATTCCTCGAGATATTGCGAACTTTGTGTCAATTCAAACTGATCACTATATGTCTTGATGATCTCGAACATGCAGATGACGAAACTTTGGACTTGGTATTGAAAATCATCAATGCAAAGCTCCCCTGTGTCCTCATACTGTCAAGCCGCAAGGACGAGATTCCATCTGACCAGGTGAGGTCTCTATTTGTGGAAGATCTACCAACGATCACGCGAATCGCACTCGCGCCCCTTGAAGAGCAGCATGTTATGGAAATTGTAGCGTCGACAATGCACCAGAAACCTGATCGAACATTGACACCTCTCTGTGCAGTCATTCAGGAGAAGAGCCGAGGAAATCCTTTCTACGTTCGGATGATGCTTGAGACTTGTTACAGAACAAACTGCATTTGGTATTCATGGAAAGACTCAAAGTGGCTATTCGACCTTGATCGGATATTTACAGAATTTGTGGCTCCTGTCTACGGCGAAGGGCTTGGACTTGGTTTTCTTACCAAGCGTCTTCAGGACATCCCCCAAGCCGCTCGATCAATCATGGTCTGGGGTTCTCTTCTGGGCAGTCCCTTTTCGTTTTCTCTGGTGCAAAAGCTTCTGACAAGTGAATTTCTCTATTCGACCGATGACGACGACGATGTTGATCTCACATCACCGCAAAATGTCACACTCATCAGACAATCAGAGGGAGATATAGTTGTTGGATTGCAGTTTTTGGTTCAAGCAAATCTTTTGAACACTGGAAAGACCGACGATGAGTTTAGGTAAGACATTTGTTTGTTGGTTACTGCTGTAGCCAAAACCTTTACTAATTTTCCTAGGTTCGCAAATGAGCGACTTACACAGGCTGCTCTAACTTTGAACGAGAGTCGGAATATAGAGAAGATGCATTTCATCGTTTCACAAGTGCTGATGAAATATTACCACGACCACCGCAGTCGGTATTCGATGGCTCATCATGTGGCACTTGCGTCACCGACTATCAAATCTCGTGTCAGCAGACGCCTCGAATATCGTCGGATCTTATGGGATGCCGGACAAACCGCTTTCCAGTCGGGTGCACGGCCCTCTGCACTTTGGTACTTCCGTCATTGCATCGCTTTACTTCAGGATGATATGTGGAATGACCTTCAACCCGACGTTTATTACGATGAAACCATGCGGCTATTTATCACTACTTCTGAGATGTCGTGGTCTCAAGGTCACAATGACGATGCCCTCCGATTGATCAACGAAGTGTTTGTTCATGGAAAGAACGCCGTAAGCAAGTCGAGAGCCTGGATCATTAAAGCAAAAATCTTTGCTCAGCTAGGCGATCATCACCGCTCGATGGAATCACTTCTCACCTGCCTCGATGAACTTGGTGTGCATCTTCGTCAACCCACAACGTATGAGGAGTGCGACGCTGCCTATCTTCGACTCAAGTCCTATCTCGAAACTGCCGACCTGAGCTCTATTGGCCGAAAGCCAGTCTCCAAGGACCCCACTATAGTGACCATCGGCTCAGTCATGGCGGAGGCGATGACAGTTACTTACTGGGACGATGCGTTGACTTTTTATCGGATGGCGCTTGAAGTGATGAACATTCATATTTTCAAGGGTGGATTCACACAGATTGCAATAGGTTGCTCCCATCTTGCCATGATATCCCTGGGTCGCTTCAAAGACATCGAGTTTGGCACAAGACTTAGCGATCTTTCGCTGGAACTTCTCGAGCTCTGCCCCGAATTGTCCACTAAGAGCAGAGGCTCGAT